AGCTGTTGTTGTTGAACAAGCTTGTGGATCTGTTCCTGGTTATTCTCAGTGCTTTATTATAACATATTTCATATGTTGGCCCTCTCCAATATGGCCCCTGTGGTGGTTGTGACTGTGGCTCCTGACAGCAATGCTCTGGTTTTCTGTTTCTACGCCACATATAGAGGGTGAAACACACAGTCAGCCAACCCCACATCCTCCTATTTCACTGTGGGTTAGATCCAAAACAAGCCCTGTGGGTTTTCAGCAGGATTTACAAGTTTGTTTTCTCTGATCTGTTTTATGTACCCTGCCTGTCTCCATCTCATCTGGCCAGATGGGTCAAAGCTGTCTCTGTGATTGACAGAGCAAGCAGAGGAAATCTAAACAGGCTGAGACTGCAAAGCCACCCAGCTGGAATAGTGCCCGATGGACACTGCCAGCACACTGAACAGATAAAGATCATAAATTTTAAATCAGGGGAGAGAGAATGAATGTAAAGGACTAAGATGTTAGTGTTTCTTGTTGTGTATACCTGACAACAGTAACACTAAACAGACCCCTGAGAGAAGAAGAGCGAGGAATCTCTGGTTCAGTTTTGTTTACTTTCTTAATGTCACCTAGTGGTAGGATGAACATAGTGCATCAAGCATACTTCAGTCTATAGTTTCTTTTTATATTTCTCAACAACAATAATAATATCCATTAATGATTACATCTCTTGGGTGGACCCTGCTCTCCTGCCCCCTGTTGCCATCCTCTTGCCATGTCCTATGGTAGTTAATGTTATACTGCAACGTTTGTCCTGTCTTTTTGTAATGTTAAGAAAAAAAAAAACATACTTCAGTCTATTTTGGGACAAAAATGACAAACATTCAGTCACACTCATAATCAGAGTCAAAATTAATAGTACAGATGCAATACTGGGTTAATTTTACCCTGTACCTATAATGGTAAAAAAAAACAAAAAAAACCATTGGGTAACAAATGAAACCCAAGACAATGGGTTACTTTGATTCAGACTTAGTGCCATTGTTTTTAGATTACTGTTAGGTTATTTAGTCAAACTAAATGGTATGGTTGCAAACTGTTCTACATGACACTGTTTGTTACCAGACAAATTATTACAGACTGGTAATAAATATATGTATCTATAACTAACAATGCAATTGTGACAATTATGAGGTAAAACCTGAGCTTGTGTCTAATGCTATAGGTCTAAATAACCATATTTTAGGTAAATAACCCAACAGTGATCTAAAAAATATCATAGGTAAACTTAAATATGTTTTGTGTTGACGCTGTATTGACTCAAAATAGATCTATTTTAATCCACTGATTGTTTTGCGTGTAGCTTTTTTTTCTCTTGCGTTCAGGCACATACAATTGCTCTCTTTTGTGCGTTAATTCAATGAATTTGGGCATGACGTGCAACAGGTTAATAAGCTCTTGTGAAATGGAAAGAAGAGAAGGAGAAACACTGATGAAAAGCAACATCTTGTGCAGCTTCTTACTGACAGGGCTAAATATTGTTAATTCTCTGTGAGGTGAGCGGATGTTGCTGGTTGTGTCAGAGTTAAATGTCAAACCACACTCTAATACAAACGCTCTCTCTCACACACACCACCAGGACCACCTGACAGGACATGTAAACACTCACAACTACACACACCCTACACACACATTAGACACACACACACACACACACACACACATACAACCTTGGCTGCCTCTCACACGTTTTCTCACGTTGGCTCACATGCCCACCCCTCAGCCCTCATTCCACAACGACACAGGAAGTCAAAGGGTGACCCATTTCTACCAGAGGTTTTATTTTGTTTTGTCTCTGCACAGATGTCACCAAGTGCAACGGAAATGTACTGCACATGTACTGACAAGAGCAGCATTTATCACCAACCTCAATGATTTACATGAATCTAGAAATAGCAGTCTAATAAATGTTACATTTAATCTGTTATGCCTGTGCACAGCAGCACAATTCTTCATGTTAGATTGTAAACTTTATAAGGTGTAGCTATATTATAGGATGGAGGATCTGTTTCGGAAATAATGATGAATGACGATGAAAGGTGGTGATTTGATCACTTAAACGCATGGAATCGTTTATAAAAAATTAAAACAAAACCATGAGTGGAATATCAGCTGCTTTTCTTTTGACAGTATCAGTATAGGCTAAAATGATAATGAGATTAATGCTTAAATTCTGCTGTAGAGTTGGTTAGTTTAATACCCTTAAACACCAGCTCAGATTGTGTGAGCCATAACTTCTCATGAGTTCACTCTAAAGCAATGCTCACATGTTCTTTATTAAAAGTAATTTATTACAATTTACAGCAATCAAAATACATTTAAATCATGTTTCACTGCTTTTAAAATCCCAGATCTGCCTGCAGGAATGAAGATTTTTTTTTGGAGACATGTTCTTTTTATGATATTAGTAGTTTTATTAAAGAGTAGTCACAACATATGTCTTGTCTGGGAGATTAAAGTAATAAAAAGCAAAGTCAAAAACTGCATTTAAAAAAAAAAAAGACAGTTTTATTAATAACTGACAGTAGCATTTAGTTTAAAGTAATGTCTACTTTCATGCTTTTTAATATTATTTTAGATATGCATTTAGTAGTATTGAAAACAAAGCTCATTGAAACAGAAAAGGACATTTTAAAGTACTCGTTAAAGAGGTGGTATTATGCTTTTTGGCTTTTCCCCTCTCCTTTATTGAGTTATATATCTTTTTTCTGCATGTAACAGGTTTGCAAAGTGAAAAAGCCCAAAGTCCAGCCCAAAGGGAGTTCCCATCTCCCACAGAAAGCTCTGCTCTGAACCGCTTGAAAACAGCTTGTTTGTAGTCCAGCCCTTCACTTCCTTTACTTGTGACGTCACAATGAAAACGCGTCATAAAGCTTGCCAAGCGGCTAGCGGGGGTCAGGCACGCCCTCAAACCAAGCTAGTCTGAGCGGAGGCCCTTTGGGTCGACTCACCTTTGTTTGGGTTTCCATTGTAGAAATGTTGTACCTGTACCTGCTTCCAGGTACTTTTTTTCTTATCACCTCACCTCCATCGAGGTTCCGAGCGAGCTGAGGGATACTAAAATGTAACGTGAAAACACGACAGACTGCTGAGAATTGTCACTATTCACTGCATCATCATTGCGTGCGCCAGACAGAGGCCAGCAACAGAAAGTTTTATATTTTACAATTTTCGTATGGAATTTCATCACTAAATCCACTTCTGAGAAGTTTTGAGCTGAGAAATCAGCTGTGTAGATTTCGAATATTGACAGTTTTACTAGAAGTGATGGCGGAACAAAAATGTGCTTGAATATTTTCGGAGTTGAGGAGCTCCGCAAGTGGCGGTGGGGGATGCCTGTGCCAACTCGCGGGAGGAGCGTGTGAGTCCGGCCAGCTGCCCGCTCACAGGGCCCTCTGCTCCCGCCGTCACACTGACCGCTGCAGCAACAACGGCAGAGGAAAACACAGCTGGAAGGTTTTCATCTGTCTTTAAATTCTGAGTAATATTGAAACGTTTTAACCGTAGACTGTATATATTTTAAGAGCTGTGTGGATCGCTGGTGTGTGTGTCGCATTGAACATTACGTCGCCGCAGTTGTGTGTGGCATCGCTATCTCTGGGTACTATCTGCAATGGAAAATGGAGCAGGGCCGAATAGAGTCAAGTCTATCGATTTGCGCTATGGAAGCATTTTTCGGCGAGGCAGCATAGATCGTCAGAACACTGGCAACAGTTCAACGTTTAGTCCTGATGGTAAGCTGTGGAACAATCATGTTGTGTGGTTGTGGACTGGCAATAACTTATACCATCTGCTAGGTTACGGTCGCAGTCTGAAGGAGCTTTGATTTGGATCACACTACCTTGATACTTACGACCCGCCCTTCTCTGCTTCTGATTGGCTAGTAGTCCTTACCTGGGAACTGCGCATGTGCAACTCCCAACAGATTTTGTACAAGTATGCAAGTAAGATGCATCACTCTGTAGCTCAAGAGCGGAGCGTACAACACACAGGGTGAAAAGAGGAGCTGCAGCAATGTGCAGTATGAGAAAAATATGGTGTTTTTTTGAAAATTAAACCATGTAAGCCTGTTCAGGTACAACCCCTAATTAAGATTTTGAACCTGAAAATGAGCATAATACCACCTCTTTAAGAGTACCATAGTATTGTACACATTCAAAAATTAGGTATGTTACACCATGCTACATATGTACAGTGTCTAAATAATGACCCAGCACTATCCTTGTCAGTATGTCCATAAACAGTGTACACATACCAATCATAACTATTGTTCTTAGTAAGCAACTTTTGTTGTGTCGATTATGACAACAATTACAGCAATATACACATAGCGAATACTAGAATATAGCATCCTTTAATGGTTGTAGCACGTTCTAGCAAGCTACATAAACTGCTTAGAATGATGTCAAATTGTATTCAGTATGTACATTTTTAAGGGGCTATATGTAGTTTTTTTTTAATGAAATCACTTACCAAAACGGGTTGTATCCTCACAGAAAAATGAACCACACGCTTGCTTTGTCTGTTGCTCGGATTAGCGACTATTCTGCGTCCTATGTGAAAAAATTGGGTCTGATTTTCTGCATGCACGCTCCCGAGCCTCTTGCCTACTGATTCTGTACACAGAGCGACAACACCGCAGCTAACAAAATGGAATCCACTAACACCAAAAAATGGCCGGCTCCCAGCACAACACAGACTCCAACACAATCTCCACCCAAGGATAAAAAACAACAAAAAAGTTTTATGTGCTGAAGCCCGTCAGGCCAAATGTGAATCAGAGTGACATACCGATACTCAGGTACAGGGCTTCCTTGTTAGGGCTTACTTACTTGACCCACATAAAACGCAATTAATGCTACATAATGGCACAGCACAACAACACAGTGGAAGAACCATTCACTGCAGTTTTGTTTCTTACTACTATCTAACTGTTAAACTAAAGTCTGGCAACAATCTCATTTACAATATTCCGTCTACTCACTTAACGTTTTTATTACCATCCAACAAATTAACACATTATAGCACAGAATGATCACAGACTCTGCAGTTCTTCTCAGCTCTATGTTTGTGTTTTGCCAGCAACATTTGCCTTTAACTTTACTGTTTTGGTTCACTCTCACCACTTTTAACCTTGTTTGGAACAGCAGCAGGCAGGTGTTTTTAGCAAAAATGCTATGAAAGCTAGATTTCAAGCACCTAACAGCACACACAGTGCAGCATTTAGTGGCTTAAGAGCCAGACATTTTCTCCAGGAGCTGGTGGAGACCAAAACAGAGGAAAAAAGAGACAGAATATTGGACTTACATTCATCAAGTGGCCAGAAACATGACTCAGAACAAATGCCAATACAGCTCAGTGTCTGTCGAATGTGTGAATAGGCAACTGTTGTGTGCGCTCAGCAGAGAACACTCCATATAATCAAATTAGAATAAACAGTCAGGTTGCTTGTGATGTAAACGCATTCAGTTTTAAATTACCGCACGGGGATAACTTTTTAGACACAACATTTTCAAATGGATTTATTGCTGAATGTTGTCTGTAGCTCTTTGAGCGTCAGATACCCTGTTTTACAGGGTTCCACAGGCATGGAGGAAGACCTGCACATGGCAATGGGCAAAGGCCAGGCTGCATAGCTACCACCAGCAGCTGCTACAGGTACATCTACCTGTTGGCTATCAGAGGACACCTGAGTTAGACTGGGAGCAGTAGGTGGGGGTGGAGGAGAGGAGGGGGGGCACATCCGGGAAGGAAAATGGAGAGGGAGGATGAAAAGAGGAGAGATTTCGTGATCATCTAAAGCCTCGTCCCCTTCTAAAACAATGACCTTTTTATCTTCCTTGCCCTCTTCTTCTTCTTTACAGATGCCAAAGCCAGAGTCTGGGCTTTGTGGCTCCCTCTTCAAGCTCTCATAGGTTGGAGAGGTGTTTAGGGAGGGGCAGACAGAGACGTGAAGGTTGTGGCTGTTGTGCAGATTGTGGAAATCATCCTGATAGGTGAAGTAGGCAGGACTGGGGTCAGTTCGAGCTGAGCCGCTGGAGGACCTGGACATGAAGTAGCCCACATTAGAGAAGCAGGATGAAGAGGAGGAGGAGCAGAAGTTGTCAACAACACCGCTGGTGTCCGAGCCAGCCGAGGCGTAGCTCCTGAAGTGAAGCAGGGCGCTGGTGGAGCTGGAGGAGGGAGAGGTGGAGGGGGCAACATCCCAGCTTTCACACACCTCAACCGAGGAGATGTGGTCGCATGGCTGGACCGTAAAGAATGATTCAGGAGATGTCAGAGGATTCAGCCATTTCTACAGAGAAAGAAGGGATTTACAATAGAAAAATACACCTGAAGAATACTACGATAGTAGAGTGTGTGTCTTAAATTTTGTTTGTGACAGCAAACATTTGTCTTTCATTTTCAGAAAGTGTAATGTTTATGAGTGTGTGTATAAGTTTGTTTGGTTTGAATGCAAGCATCAGACAAACCACACCAAGAGGCATGTTCTTTTGCGGTAAAACATATATTTTTTTCTAATCTGGGACAGACTGTGGCTGCAACCTGTCCTTTTCATTGGTAGTCAGTGGTGAGCGGGGAGTGACAAACTGAAAATAGGCAAGGAGGTCACACAATGGCTGGGGGCCCCTAACAGGAAAGGCTCTGCCTCCTTTAGTATCCAACCTGCATAGAATTAACCGGATCTTGCTTATTTGGCTGGGGAAGGTTACAAGGTAATTTAGCCCATTAGAAGTTTTCAGATTTCATAATGTTGTAGGATTCAAGACAAGACAGACTTTAATGCTCAAAACTGAAGCAGCAGAGAGATCTTAAATTTTAGTCCCTAGTATGGGTCAAGCTCAAGTATGCAACTTTTAATGCAACCATTAAAGGTTCCATATTATGCAAAATGCACTTTTTTGTGTCTTTTCAACATAAACATGTGTCTAAAGACCCACAGACTAGCCAGCTCAGTCTTTCAGGAAATGTGTGCAAACACATTGTTTTAATTTGGCTCCTTTCTTTATGTCATGGAGGGATCTGTACAGCATAGGACCTCCTCCAGCCCTTCAGTGCAGTAGACAGTCTGAACTGTATACAAAACTCTCAGCCAAGCACCCACCATCCAACCTTTCTTTCTAACATAACAGCTGTCATCCCATCACTGAGCTGGAGGTTGTTCAGTATGTCTCACAGAAAGGGCTTTTACGGTTATGAAAGAAAGTTAAATAGTTTCTGTTTTTCCCTCTGATGTCCTCCGGCTGATCTACCTCAACTCTCTGTGATTTATGGAGCTCCCTGATGGACAGATAGCTTTACTGCTTGCTAATGCGAAGTAACCGCTGGCTACTGCTAACTTCACGGAAAACTGAGCTAACTAGCTAGCTGCAGTTACCTTTAGCAATAGTTAGCGGCTAAAGTAACTGCTAACAGTAAGTACAGCTAGAAAATATTTTCTCTATAAAATTAGGATCCAATTTCTCCAAAATCAGTGAATTAAGTTGTGTTTTTGTACTTTAATCACCATGGCTTAGTCTCGCAGGGGGGCCTTAAAGTGACATGAGCTAAAATAGTGTTTAGACAGAGGGGGAAAAAAGGTGTGGAATATATGGACAATAGGAGAAAAATAATAAAAGCATGTCAACGTTTTCCAGCAGAAACCCAGAATAACAGTATGAACCTGAAAATGAGCATAATATGGGACCTTTAACATCTTACCCCCTGTTTGCCTGCTAAATGACCACAAACAATACCCGTAAAATGACCTTCAGGTGTAAAAGTCATGGAGTGCTCCTTAACATTGGCTGGTGATAAAAACAACTGGTATAATTGGTAAGAATTTAAGAGTTCAAAAAAGAATTAATATGTTAACCAATTTGTTCAACTGAAGAATGTGTTTAAATGTAACTAAGTACTATACTTGAGTGTGAATTTGAGGTACTTGTACTTAACCTCAGAATTTGATGCTTTGTACTTCTACTTCACCACATTTCAGATGGAAATATTGTACTTTTTTAGCCCACAACATTTATTTGACAGCTATGGTAACTGGTTACTTTGCAGGATACAAAACATATAAAACTTTTTATAGTGTGGCTACATTTATATAAAAAAATTATCTCCACACTTTTTCCACCACTGGCAGCTACTCAAGAAACATTTATCGTTTTTTGTTGTGATGTTGTGTTTCCTGTCTACAGATTAATGTTAGAAGGATAAATTATACATTAATGAATACTAGCAAAATGATGATTGAACAGTGATTTGTTTTCATCTACCATATTAGAGCAACTAAATTAAGAAATCGAAGTGAACAGATCATCAAGATTGAATGTAATGCAACCTGTGTATAGATAGTTCATGAATCTTTGTGCTAACACCTGCAGTCTCTCACAGTCTCAGGTGTCAAAATGTTCTATGTGGTAGGATATAGTGGTAAAAAGGCTTATTGTTTGGTGAGAACCTTTATTTTTACCTTTAGATTTCCTCCGTGGACAGAGTGGAGAGTGTGGAAGTATTTTGAAGGGTTTGGTACTGGCTTCCTTTTGAGATGCCTGAAACAGTAAGAGAGAGCCATTAGCCATTCTGCACACACACACACACACACACACACACACACACACACACACACACACACACAAGCCAAACATTCACTCACCCCTTGTTTATGCAACTCCTGTAAAAGATCAGCATTACAAAAATGATGAAGCCCAGGCTGAACATCACTCCCCACATTGGGTCCAGAAGTCGATCTGAAACAGAGAGCTGACATTACAATTTGTAATATGCCTGTACAAGTAACATAGTCAAGTAAATAATTGTTGCTGTCTCTCTGATCTATAGGATTATTTAGTTCATTTACAGGGTCTTATCTTTACAACTTGTTCAAACTACCTTTTCTGCCCAGATCACTCGAGCCTGTAAGGAAGCAACCACCCCATGTTTTGTTGTCTGTGCTTGGTGAAGACCCTGACTGAATGACTACATTTCCCAGCTAGTCTGGGATTTTATTGGGACCCCAGAAAGTTCAAACTATTTCCTTGTTAAAATGAGAACTGTAACGGTTGAAAGTGACATGAAAAAAGCCTGTGTACTGTTGTTACTGCTGTTTGTTGTCGCTCAAAAAACCTAGCACATGTTGTTACCTGTATCCTGTGGTGTTGACGCTTTGTTTGGACTCCAATTGCTCCAATGGCTCTCCTTGCAGTTAGACATCTTAATGGGTTTGACTCTCACCCTGACCTGGAAGTTCCCCTTCAGTTGCCAAGAAGGTATTCTTAGCTCAAATTCTTGTTTGGCCAGAACCATGGCCTCCTGATAACAACAGATGGATTTTTGGCACAATATCAAAATTAGGGGGGACTTAACCACCAGAATCTCAAAGTATTTGTCACATTTATTTAAATCAAGAACAGCATCAGTCCTGTTGCATTTGCACTTATATAACATACATGTGTGTTAAAGCAAGCACTGCCTCGTTTGTTGTGCAGAGCATTGAACTAAAGTAAAGTGAAGGGGACGTGAAATATGAATAGATTATGAGAAGCTGATGTTTGAAATTTTTATGAGTAATAATCCACTGAAAGTGATTAAGATGAAGAAACAAAGAGCATAGGCTTCCGCAGAGAGTGTTGTGTTGGTCAAACAATTAGGAAGCAACTTTATGAGTGACATGTCTCAACAATTATTAGATGGATTGCCCCTAAAGGGGCTATATGTAGTTTTTTAAAATAAAATGAAACACTTTAATATTGTCTATGTGTGAAATGATTGTGACCTCATAAAAACAATCCACTCGCTTCTACTTGTTTTTCTGTTACCACTGACGGCCAGTATGCCTATTCCAATGTCAAGGCTCTGGGTCGGATTTTCTGAAATCCATTGGCTGTTACATGCATGCGCGCTCCCGAACCTCTTGCCTCCTGCATCTGAACCGTACATACTGCGACAATACCGCAACTAACAACATGGAGACCATAAAACAAAATGCTCCGAGCACAACACAGACTCCAACACAAACTCCCAATAAAGATAAAAACCAAGAACAAAGCTTTATGTGCCAAACAAGAATCAGATCGATGTCGGGTAAAAATACTCAGTGACTTCAGTCACGTCGAGACCTCCACATTGTTTTGAAAACTGACAGAGTTGGCTTTCATCCTATTGGACAGATAAACTACATTACTGCAAAACATGTGAAATATATTGTGAGTTTATGCTTTAGTTGGCACAAGTTAGATAACGTTAGGTCATTGGCTAACGCTGACCGGTTGCATCATCCGGTGCAAAATACTATAGTTGTATGAATTTCCACATTACTTCACCAGCTAACGTGACCCATATTGCAACCACTGGTATTATGTCAAAGTGTTGATTTTAGCCTGCAAGAAAGGATGAAACGGTGTAGGTACCAGATGTGCTCGGGGGCCTGCGCCCGCCGGTAACGTCACATAACATGATTGGCTGTACATTTGCAAGATGACGTAACAGATTGTGGTGTTTACGGCTCTGGGAGAACTTATACAATCAAATACAGCTCTACTTATTAAACGGGACTTACTACAGCCTGACAATAGCTGTAAAAGCCCTGAGAGCAGAAAGCCACCATTCGTTGAATTAATGTTACAGTGCTTATGTTAGCTGCCGATCAAGTAAAGCTAACGGTAGCTAAGCTACTCGGACAAACTACATTGTGCTCCATTTATAAATGTAGGTATCAGATCTGCTCCGGTCTTTATTTTTTCGGTAAGTATTTTTGCTTTTATTTCACATTTGCTTTGGCAATATGGCAACAACGTACACATACAGTCTATGGTACACACACACACGTTTAACTTCATCGGCAACATTAGCATCGTAACATGACATACAATCAATCACCATCTGCTGTTCTCTAATTTGTTTTATAACCACACACCTGAAAAATGAATGACATTCCCATCAGCCTCAGCTGTACTTTGTGTTTAGCATGCTGTTTGTGTCCAGTGTGACACCAAAAGTCATCTTGACTTATAATTTTAATCCAAACCTTTTCCTAAACCTAAGTAGTTTTGTTGCCTAAGCTAACTAAACTGTGACTGAAAATGGAACCTAATTAAACTTTTAAAAAATAAGTCAGCATCTAGACATGAACCTTCCATGTCTACGCTCTTAGTTAGCCTATGATTTATTATTAGGTTTACGAATATAGCATGTTATGAAAATTTGTAGTAAACATGAATTTCATCTTAGAAAATGTCCATTCATGCATGCATGTGCGTAGGCACTCACCTTCCATGTCTGGGTTTTCTGTTTAATCTGAATTTGGAAGTCAAAGGATGAGAATAAGTAAGGGATAGGACTGCTTAGACTCCATGATATCCAGGTCTCATTGGCAGTGCTGCTGACATTGGGAACACCTAGGGGATGCATTTTGACTGTGCGCACACACACACACACACACACACACACACACACACACAATAAATAAATGAGAAATTTTCTCAAATTTATTTTATTACCGGATTTGTGAATAACTTTTCAGGAGCAACTAAAAATGTAACAATGATAGTGTAACAAGTAAAAGCCACTTACTGTGACTGCACGGCTTATAGTTTGTAAGCGTCTCCACCAATGTGCCATTACACTGGATGCTGATGTTGGGCAGCATTTCAAAAGGACTGAATTCCTGGAGGGATCCATAATATAATCAAACAGTGAAGACAATTTTTTGGGTAAAGCAACAACAAGTTGTGGCCTTTAGCTTTGGAGTGAGACTGTAGATTTGTTATGGGTTTATTTTTTATTTCATTGCAACATTTTTTCTCTGATGGCTGATCTAAAAATTCAAAAATGAAACAGTGATCTACCAGGTTAAGATAGAGAATCCCATTAGGTGTTTACATGTTCTTACGAATGATATATGTTAGTGACTTACTTGTTTTTCAAATACAAAACTGCAGCCTGGAGGAGGGTTTCCATGTTTTTTAAGCTTGCAGCTTCGACTAAAGAAAAAAGGACAGAAATCATCATTAAATGCAGCAGATTTGACCAACTGACAAAGCTGATTTTGTGTTTTCACCTACAAAGCAAAAAAAACCCTTTTTCTCTTCATGGAATCTCCAAGAAAAGGAAGCAGATACTTTCCATTCATAATATGTTGGTAAGCAGTAATGAGTATATTATTTTTAACAGCTTACATCATTTGGTCCTGAATTCTATTGTTGTTGTTGAAGATCCAGATTTTCTTCACACCAGAAATCCAACAGTCCACACCAGGAGCCACCAGGGAGCTGGTCCATGTACAGCTGACATTGTTGACAAAGTCATTTACACAGGAGAGTCCTTGAGTAACAGAGACAAAGGGGACCCAACGAAAAGAGAGAGATTAGGATGTTGTCTCTATTTATCAGTGTTGTTGGACTCGTCCTTCATGTAGGACATTCAGATCTCTGTACATACTTGAGTGGCAATTGCGAGGTTAAAGTGTAATCAGCAAAATCCCCCTTTGAAAGACTTTGTTTTTCTGCTTTAAAATGGTCACATTTACTTAATATACTGTAATTCATAAATATATGTTATTACTTGCAGTAACAAGCAAATCCCTTGTGCCTAAAAGGACAGTAACGTAGAGCCATACCTTGTGAACCTTTGTGAGAGTGCGCTGCATCCACTGAAAACAGAACCACCAGGACGTGCAAGGACCACAGGATCTGCATGGCGATGACTACAATATGACTGGGTACAGAGAGGATAAGTAAATGTTGAACATTAGAATGAGAATCAGAATCAATAGTGTTAAATAGATTAACAGATTCAGCAGAAGACTGTTCACATGTGAGAGTGGAAATTCAACAAACAAAAGAAATTTGACAAGTCAAAGGTTGTATACATGTTAATCTAAACATGACGCTTAGATTTTATCTAAGTAAAACTGGGGAATATGTGTAAAAATCCAAAGCTTTTAAAATCCCCACTTAGACCACATATTAACTGGGGGGATTGAGAATAGTTACCCAAACAGGTTTCTCCCTCAATATGAAAATACATTTTTACTTATAATGGAGAGAAACTCCTTTCTGAAACCTGGACATTGAAATTGCATCAGCCAATCAAACCCCAGCGTAGTAATACCTTTGAGACTGAGAAAACAATACTAGATCCACACTGAGCAAAATAATTATCCTGAGAAGGCAGCAGTTGTAAATGAAACTTGACTGAAAGCACTGGCAACCGTGCTGATGCACTAGACAACACAACTGTGTGTTAAAGTGAGAACTTCCTATTGGCCACGCTGGACGTTATTAAGTGCCATTCTTAATTTAGTTTAATGTAGCTTCATGTTTTACTCTGCAATGCATTTCTGCAAAATAATAATTTTTTTTCTAGAATAGACATACAAAAGGTGTCAGTATATATGTCAGGGTTTAGATACCGACAATATGTTCTAAAGGTTTCCCATAAAGACTGTCAGCAGCTTGAGTCATCGGTTGTTACCAGTTTTTCAACTAACAGCTGTGGTGAGTAGGATGATGATAAAAAGTTCAGATGTGTCACCATTGATGTGCAAATTATACATACTGTACAGGGGAAACAAAACCACTTGTTTCTAATAATAACGGCAGATCAAAAAACCTACGTCATCTAAATGCAATAGAACAGCCAGAGCCAGTGCCAAAAGACACTTTAAAATAACATATTAAAATACTAGAATATATAGACTCAAGTGGTTCTTCCACATTCGTCTTCTACTACTATTTTTGAACAGCATCAATAAAAGAAATGACACAGTACCTTGTCTGTCAGGGTATCAGGGGGTCCCTGAGAGGAAACACATCGTCGTCTCCTCTGCTGGACTGATGGGTTTAGACGATTTCCTTTTCTTCTGTATCTCTTATTGTCCCTCTTTCTATCTACTCGCACATCACTATCTCACACTCTTGTGCAATCTCTCTCCCTTTTTCTCTCCCTCTCTCTGTCACTCGCACTCATCCCTCTATCTCCTCATTCTCACCCCTCTCTCTTCTATAAAGTGCCCAGTGACATTTTCCACTTGTAACCACAGCCTATGTCTGGGGCTTACAGGAAGCCTCACAATGCGAGTGCAAGTGAGAGAGGACGGGCTGGGGTGGGGAGAGGAGGGGGTGTGGGGGTTTTACTGCTCTGTTGTACAGCAGAGCACCTCCTCCTGCTCACCAGCAGCAGCTACCTGGACCCCATCACAGCTTCTAAGATAATAATTGCACTGAAAACAAGAAATACAAGGCACACCACATCCGGTTTCAATCACAACGTAAAGTGGGTTGTTTAAAGAGAAACTTGCACTCTGTTCTATGAAGTGGTTTATGCCAATGAAACTCATCTTAAACTGAAGATTTGGAAGATTAAAGAGGCTAAAGCGACCAGATTTAGAACCATGGGGTTATTTAAGCTGAAAACAAACACACAAAAAAGTTGTGCAGCACCAAAACCACTGCTGTTACAGCCGCAACCACTGTAGACACACACATAGGCCTATATATGCTACTCAAGTGCTTCTATAGAGGGAAAGAGGAAAGGAGGTTAAAATTAAAACCAGCAGCCTGGTCTTCAGTCAAAGGTCACTGAACATTTAATTTCTGTAGCCTCAAGAGGTTTCCTATAATCGTAAGTGTGTCCAATACCATCTACTAATCAACCTCACTTTGTCTGGCTATGAAAGGGGACTAATATATAAGGGGCAGTAAAAACATTTTTTGGGGCGGGGGTGGGGTCAGAAAAGGGGGAGGTTTATGTTTCTTTTCTATAATTTATGCACGCCCCACATTTTTATTTGACCCTTTTCTTGTAAGAGTTACTTTATAAAAAAGATTGTATAGTTACATCAAAATATTTCCGCGATAAACATGCCTAGTGTGTGCTCCTGTCGCTTATTCAGAGCAGCTGGACTGCTCCGTAAACAAGATCACCATCCGTTATGTTTACCATTAATTTTGCAATTTCTTATTCCACTCCTAATGTGCGATTGGCTACCTACTTAACTTGCAGACATCCAAATCAAATATTGATGGCCTGGGAAGCTTTTTAAAGTCAAATAGACCGAGATCCCCCTCGCCACCCCAATAATTACTGCTCGGTGATTTTGATTAACAAAAATAATCCATATGTCAATCAACTAAATATGAACAATAGTGTCATGTTGCAGATGGAGAGTAAAGAAAAAATGGGTAGCAAAACAGAGAGACATTTGTAACAGTATATTTTCACCCAATTACATGCAAACCTTTATATTCAAATGCCAAAATGTGAGTGCAGTAAGTATGGCACAGCAAAGCAAGCCAGCAAAACAGGCAAGATCAATGCAGGCAAGTGTTCATCTCAGTCTTAAAGTTCAATGAAGAGCCATTGTGTAACATACATCCACACTGTTCGTCTATCTTCAAACCACAAAGCATTCACGCATAACAAAAACTGTTGCACAATAACACAACAGGTTTGAACTCAGCAGTCAGCAGCTGCCTGGTTTGGATGCACTACAGGGTTCAGGCCTGCAGTAGGCCAGGGGGCGATCTGATGCCCCCCCCCCCCCCCCACTAGTTCCTGCAGCCACTAAGGTGTCAGCATCAGCTAGAGGTGGTAACAGGAGAAACAGAGGCAGCGGAGGGTTGAAGCGTGCAGAAGGAAGAAGAGCGTACAGCTCTCACTGAAAGGTCAAAGTCCGCCATACTTGAGGCGGGAAGCTGCTGAAAAGACCACGGTGATGTTTGTGCTGCTCGGAAGGCAACCAAGAAAACAGTCTCCATCAACAGACCACAAAAGACGGGGGGGGGTGCTCAGAGGGGAAGAGGTGAGAAGAGCAACAAGGGAGGGCACACGCATACTGCAAAAACCTGTAGCTCTATATAAAGATGATGCAACTCTTTGACAGAGGTACTGTGTATAGTGCTAATTAAAAAGATGTTTTAAGAGAGTTTAGACGTTACTAATTGACACTGAATGCGCTCTCTCTATTTAACACTGTTTGGTGACTCATCTAATGGAGCAGCCAAACACTCAAATAAATACAACTCCTGTAAGAAGTGGCCAGAGTTGACTAAGCTCAATATCCTGTGGTGCAAAAAGCTGCATTAACCTGCTACATTTAGATTCACATACTGTACACTCCCAATGCTTAACTCAAGATGCAGTTTGTAAAGAGTCAGTGGATACTTTTCACGAGTCTACAGCCGTGTTGCAGTAGCCGCTCTGTGAGGATGTACTTGAGGTTGACCAGCGGTGCTTGGAGCTAAATGCTCATTTTAAGAGGCCCACTGAACACCTCAGCTGGGGTTTATTTTGGCAGCTTATTGTGCGTTGTCGAATCATCGTAAGCAACATCAAGCAATCCCCTCTACCTCCTTTGTAATAAAGAACGGACCTGATTAACTTCTACATTATATATAGATCTGACTTGATGACTTCTGAGGCAGCAGGTAGTGGCAAAAAAACAAGTTTCAGTGGTTTCTGTTGAAACCACCTCCATTCTGCTTCCATTACACATCACACGGAGACACAAATAACCCCTTCAGCTGCTGCTGGCAATCAGCGGTTTAGGTCCTTAAGTTATTGTTTGAGCAGGGACTCCTGTGTATTTTATCTGCCCTAAATGTATGTAATCTTGAGGTAGAAGGAGACACATCTCTTTGAATCATCTGTGTGACATTGCCAAATTTAGACAATTTGTTCAAACTCATAATGATGCTGAAATGCTGATGCATGCTTTATTACTAGCTGCTTAGATTCTTGCAGCTCTTTACTGGTCTAAAAAGTCTTCCTTTGCATGAAATGTGCTATAAAAATGAAGTTAGTTTTATTATTATTGTTGTTATTATTATTAAATACACTGAATCAAGTTTAATGATTATTTTAAGTTTGATTTTACTCTACACCTTTAAAACTGTTTTTATAGAAATGACAATATTGTGGCATCCGCAGCATAGCACCCAAATGATTAGTTTGGTTTAGCCTAACCAAAGAGATATCGCAGATGTCTTTTATTTAACCAATTATCTTTTTAGTGGTATTTCATTTCTAACATAATCTTCCTCTTGTTATTGTTAAGCAGCAAGGTTACAACATGTATGGTTGCAAATCACACTTTATTTTAGCATTTCCAAAGCAACCCAAAGTGTGAATCACAAGGTTGGTGTGAGTGTTGTGGTCTCGGTGGTTGGAAGCAGGACCTCATTTTGCGATGCCCATTTTTTCCATTTCTGTAAGTGTCTTATTGAGTTTCTGGTTCATGATGTTTCTCTCTGTCCACTGAACTGCGGACAAGCCACAGAAAGGCACATTATGAACAGAGAAAGATATCAAAAACACATCAGAACAAACACAACAATGGAAGAGAAAAACAGAGAGACAGAGGGACCCGGAAGATTGAGCGCGCCTACCAATTTTATCTGTCTTGTGGCCGTACCAGAGATGGGGGTCGGTCGGCCAGGCCGTCAAAGGGTGGCTGATGTAGGAGTCGCTGGTGAGGGATTTCCATGTTAAAGGGGCACCTAGAGACAGAGAGTCAGTGAGTTAAAGAAAGGTGCTATAGGTAAAGGATACAGAAGGAAGGTTTTTGAATTTACATGTGGGTTTGCACTAAGGCACAGCAATACCTTGAGTCAGCATGCTAAACCTTTTGCAGGTGTAATGTTCACAATGTTCACATTAGTTTCACACGCTAGCATGCTAACATGTGCTAATGAGCACTAAACAGTTTGCTGGGGCTAATGGGAATGTCAATGTTTTTCAAGTATTTATTTATAAATTAAAGTACTGGACAAATTAATATTTTACATGATGAAAGTGCAAGATGAAAAGTAAAGGTTCTTCCAATTCATCCTCAGGAGGAGATGACTGACCGATCAGCCAACCAACTGACAGACAGATCAACGTACAGCCACATACTAGCGTGGCTAAAATCCCAAATGGTGGAGGAAGATGTAAGTGAGTGCTCCAGTTAATTAAGGATCCCAGGGGTATATGTCATGATATAGACAATGTACTACATGAATATACAGTATATACATATTATTTTGAAACTATAATCCAAGGTCATACAGTAAAATATAAGACTGTAATACCTGTTGCAAACTGATGGATGTCTTGTGTTTTACACTCACCTAAAGGATTATTAGGAACACCTAATTTCTCATTAATGCAATTATCTAATCAACCAATCACATGGCAGTTGCTTCAATGCATTTAGGGGTGTGGTCCTGGTCAAGATAATCTCCTGAACTCCAAACTGAATGTCAGAATGGGAAAGAAAGGTGATTTAAGCAATTTTGAGCGTGGCATGATTGTTGGTGCCAGACGGACCGGTCTGAGTATTTCACAATCTGCTCAGGATTTTCACGCACAACCATTTCTAGGGTTTACAAAGAATGGTGTGAAAAGGGAAAAACATCCAGTATGCGGCAGTCCTGTGGGCGAAAATGCCTTGTTGATGCTAGAGGTCAGAGGAGAATGGGCCGACTGATTCAAGCTGATAGAAGAGCAACTTTGACTAAAATAACCACTCGTTACAACCGAGGTATGCAGCAAAGCATTTGTGAAGCCACAACAAACACAACCTTGAGGCGGATGGGCTACAACAGCAGAAGACCCCACCGGGTACCACTCATCTCCACTACAAATAGGAAAAAGAGGCTACAATTTGCAAGAGCTCACCAAAATTGGACAGTTGAAGACTGGAAAAATGTTGCCTGGTCTGATGAGTCTCGATTTCTGTTGAGACATTCAGATGGTAGAGTCAGAATTTGGCGTAAACAGAATGAGAACATGGATCCATCATGCCTTGTTACCACTGTGCAGGCTGGTGGTGGTGGTGTAATGGTGTGGGGGATGTTTTCTTGGCACACTTTAGGCCCCTTAGTGCCAATTGGGCATCGTTTAAATGCCACGGCCTACCTGAGCATTGTTTCTGACCATGTCCATCCCTTTATGGCCACCATGTACCCATCCTCTGATGGCTACTTCCAGCAGGATAATGCACCATGTCACAAAGCTCGAATCATTTCAAATTGGTTTCTTGAACATGACAATGAGTTCACTGTACTAAAATGGCCCCCACAGTC